GCTTATGAAAGAAGAGGTTTGGGTAAATCAAGCCCCAGCAGTCAGTTCTCTCATGCTTATGCCTATCCACACTGACCTGTTACACAAACACATCTACAAAGCCCAATCATTTTATGCATTTTCACAAAAAAAAAGCAGTTCTGGGCTGGCAAAAAAAAAAAAAAAAACCTGGATTCGCATCGCTCTGTAAACAAGTTGGTCACAAACCAGGGACTTCAGTCATCAATGGCTCAGAAGCAGTATGAGGTGCTCAGGAAGCACAAAACTTAAACAGATTGTTCAGTTTCTTTGTTGCGGAAACCTTTATACGTCACTGACACTTACATAATGCTTTGGATGATAAAATATATTCTCGAAATGTGGAGTAATAGTCATAAAGACAGTGCGGTCATGATCATTTGTAGGCAGGTTATGTAGTAACTCTGTTACATCACTGTTCTGCACAGGTCAGTGGAAACTCAGTGAAAAAAAAAAAAAAGTCAAAATGACCAAGCATCAATAAAGCGCTAAAATAATCATGGCTTGCTGCTGCAAATCCTGCCGCAGTTATCTCCTCTTGCCCTTGCTTTCACTGTTTGCTCATCTGGCAAAATCAATATCTGAAAGCAACTCAGGGTGTCTCCAATCATAACCTTCACCAATAAAAATAAACCATCAAAAGTAGTTGAACTTCCCCCCCAAAAAAACATTTTAATGTACAGTATTTGCTCTGCACCCTACCAGCATCTCTTTAATGGAAAAAACAATCAATAGTGCATATTAAGCAATATCCTAGTCTTACCGACTTGTGACTGGCCTAACAAGTGAGTGTTTTCGTGGCGCCTCTGAGCTAACATATATCAACACGCATCAATGACGAGGCTGGTGTTGTCAGAAAGAATCCAATGACACGTCCCCAGTGAGTAACAAATAGGCAAACAAAGCATGTGAACCGTCTATCGGCAATGGTTACAATCTGTGTCAAATCCAAATCAGTCAAGTAGAATAAAGGGACAGTCAGCTGTCGAAAGCATTTCATCTGTACTGTAGAGATGGAAGGAAACTGACATTTAATACAGTGGGCGTCTGTTGTCGACAGGAAGCATATAATGGCTTATCACAATTACCATGCCAGAAATTCAAAAATCCCTTCAAAGTAAGAATTAAGGATCATTTTCACACTATCTTGAGCAGAGTGCACAGCAACGCCAGGATCGTTGCATTCACTCAAATGGCAGCCTGTTGTACCGAACACCATCAAGAACAGTAGTAGTAACTTTATTTATTTATCCCCTTGGGGAAATTTTGTTTCAGTGTCTTGTTTCAATATGCGGTTCTCACAAACGACAATACAACATAAATTTCACAATAGAAACAATACAATTTAACATCAATTAATCAAGAAGTGCTAATTACTGAATGAGACCTGCTCATTACATAAAAATAAAAATAAAAGGGGAGAGGGGAGGAGAGAGAAAAAAATAATAATAATCTTTCTTTCCTATCTTTCATTTAAGAACTTCACTGCCTGTGTTATAAAAGATTTTTTCCCTCTATTTTTAAAAAACACCGGTATCCTGAATCTTCTACCCGAAGGCAAGAGCTCAAACTCATTATACAGTGGGTGCCTATCATCAGATATAATTTTCATAGCTTTACCAAGACATCTAGTCTGATAAATTTGTTGTAAACCCATCACAGGGATACCAAGTAATTTACTTGCAGTACTTATAATTTTCCTGAACATACTCTTTTGTTCCACCGTAGCATTCCCGAACCAGCAAATAATACAAAAAGTCAGTACACTTTCAATAAAAGAGTTATAAAACACCTTTAACAATGGAGGGCTTACACTAAATGACACCATCTTCCTAAGGAAATATAGTCTTTGCTGGCCCTTTTTGTTCACAGCGTCAGTCCATTTATCCCACCTCAGTTTGTGATCTAAAACAACTCCAAGGTATTTATACTCTTCTACCCTCTGAATCTGGTCCCCTTTAATAATGGTCGCACTCGTTGAGGACTCTTTCCTAAAATCAATACACATTTCTTTAGTTTTTGAAACATTTAACTTGAGATTTGATACATCACACCAAGAAACAAATTCAGTTAAAAAGGGTCCATGACTGTCCTCATCCCCTCTAAGGAGACTAACCAATGCAGTATCATCTGCAAATTTGATTAAATATCTCGCTGGGCAAGTACTCCGTACAACAGCCTGGAAGTACAACAGCCTGGAAGTCTTCCATAAGTGTTGGGTAAGATGTCAGTAACACCTCTGAGGTTCCTGGCTGTGCTAAAGATTCATCCTCTTTCATGCTCTGGGTCTTTTCATGGCTTGGTGTTAAAAATCGAGCCATCTACACCTAGAAAAATCTACATGTGAAGCAACTGCCTTCAGAAATGTCAGCTTATATATAACAGCTGGTGTATTTTCATAGTGTTCTTCAGTGATAGCATATACTATGGTAGATGTATTGAAATTATCTTTAATTCTTACTGTCAAAGATTCTCTTGTTGTCATTGTAATACCATTATTAGTATTATTATTATTTTTGTGTAGGTAGACAGTTCTGGATTCATTTATTGTGTAATTATTTACTCAACCCAATGTTTTTCCAGCCTTGCGAGTTTCTTTCCTCAGTGGAAAATAAATCCTGGCTTCTCTTTTTCATATAATATGAAAGTAAATGAGGATTTAACTTTAATGTTCAAACTGACAAAAGCCACATAAAAAAGTATCATAAAAGTAGTCTAGAACAGTGATTCTCAACTTTGTCCTCCATTTTCCAACACAATATTCAAAGATATTCAAGGACTTTTTTATGAACAGAAACTGTGAGTACTAACATATTACATTTCCTAACCACAATTCATTTTGTGATTATAAAGGTTCCAAGAACTGTTCTTCAATTAGGATAATAGTTATTGAGAAGGAGAAAAAATTAATTTAACATTTTAACATGCTTAACATGCTTTTTAGCATTTAGATTTAGCCCCGGCCCCCTGGTTGAGAACAACTGGTCTACAACTTTTGGGAACCACTAATCTACATCTAAATCTTCAGATGTCATGCAACAGCTTTGTGTGAAGAACAGTCCAAAGTTTAAATTGTTATTAACTGAAAATCTTCAAAATTTTTTTATTAAATTTGATTTGTTCAGTAAATAAGTTTGATACATTTCACAGAGACTGCATCTGAATTACTAGTTTATTACACATCTGTTTATTATCGATTAATTGGTAAACACTATAATTTTAACAGTGGTCTTTAAATAGTGTGCAATGCTTCAGCTTTTAGACAGCAAAACCTTCACAGAAATGTTAATTCTTTAAATAACTCCTTATTACAGGACCGTCTTATAAGATTGTAAAGTCTTAAGGCCTTTCCACACTGAGGCCGAAAAAGCGAAACGAATATCGGACGCGATGGAATAAAACAATACATTTCTATGGATGCTTCCACATAGACCGCGAACATTAGCGCACCGAAAATGCGAATGTTTTTTTTTCGAACCAGTACGATGAATCTTTTCAGTTTCGCAAAGCGAGAAAACGGGCCATCCAATAAGATTTGAGCTAGGATCACGTGACCGGAGCAGCTGCTGTTGCACAAAAAGGCAACAGTGGTGGCGCTGTTTCGAAAACCAGTGTAAACAAACACAGAAGAAGAATATCCCGGATAAGAGAAGAGAGTGGAAGCGGAGTTCTTGTTATCGTTGGTATTTGAGAACAGATTTATTCTCACATGTTCTTTATATAGAATAACATTTCTATTAATTGTCCACTGAACTATGTAATCACAGTACAGCACAGTCCGTTTTCTTCCACGTGTGTGAGTGTTATGAGTCAGAGCGCGTTCACTCTTTTTCTACACATGAAATATGAAAGCAAATAGACATATGATTATGACGATATATTTTCTGTATGTGTTTTGTATGCAGCTCATGGTATTTTTATAGCAATAAAGGATGTTTATGACAAATATTAGCAGTGTAGCGTTATTAAACATACAGTGTGAATGTGTCTGCTTATTAATCAAAATCAACTATAGATCACAATCGGAATTTATTACAAGCACTCAATGATAGTTTAAAGTAAATAAGCAAATACATTAATAATGACATACATTTTCAAGTGTAGCTTGATGCTAATTGTACTTCTAATTATATTTTAGGATGTAGCCTATTCTTGTAAGCATTATAGATAGTGTGTGTTTCCGGAGTAGAACCTTGTTTATCTCAATTTAATGCGGATGATGTTAAATCCAGTTACGAGATACATATCTGAGGAAAAATGGATTGTTGGTCGGCGCCACCTAGCGTGCAGGCGTGAATTAGCAGAAGGCGAACAATCATTTCGGGTTTGGTGTGAAAGCACCGTTCGTCGGCGATTCGCCTCGTTTTTTCCGCATCGTGCTCAGTGTGGAAAGTCCTTTATTCTGTTCTTTGAGTGTCCCAGCCAAAACTGTTGCATCATTTAGATCAGTGTTTCCCAGCCTTTTTTTAGTCGCGGCACCCTTTGGAAATTTTAACAAACTTTTGGCACCCTACAAAATTAATTTTGTCACAATATTTGAATTTCTAACTTCGATATAATACAACAGGGAAGAACCCACGACTAGTCTTTTTTTAAAATATGTTTACCCTGGTCACCACCCTCTCATAGCCAGGAAAAAGAGCAGTGTAAAAATCTCCTTTTATACTGCACAAATGAAAAATAAATTACACAGGATTTTGCCAAACATCTATGGAATCCTGTTTCTAAAAAAAATTTAATTGCGTTTAAAATGAGAACTAAAGCCAAACTGTGAGTAATAAATCATTGATTACGAAAAACAGTTAAAGAAATAAAGTCACAGTTGTGAGAGATAATATATCAATTACATTATTTTATTTTAATTCTAAAGGTGAACAGTGGCTGAGGATGAGTAAATGATGGCAATTTTCATTTTTGAAAAACAGCTGCACATCCTATTTATGCATCTGACCACATCAGAGACTGTTGAGAGTCTATTTTACCTGATAAGTGTCCCACAGGCGAATGGTGCAGCGCAGAGGAAGTTCTCTCATAAGCAGGTTGTTCATCCAGCGGAAGGCGAACTGCAAATACTCCACCTCATACTGCTGCATGTGGCGATGTACCGTCTCTGTTAAAAACCAAAACAGTACAATAAATCACCACCCTGACGTCAATCACCCCATTCATCTATCACAAACAATTAAAGCATCATTATATTCTCTTCAGTAAAACTGGGACCAAACAATAAATGACAGCCACTCGACGGACACAACAACAACACAAATTCTCCTCGCCGCTTTCTCGCAGACACAGTTCACAGATGACAGCCTGCCAGGCGTAAGACATAACACCCTAATAAAGCCATAAAGAATGTCTCCGTCCGTGCAATCATGTGCTCGACGCTGTCATGTAAGCATGAGGTAATTACTCCGCTGTCAACCCAACGTCTGAGCGTGTTATGTTTGAGAGGAAACAGCAGCTTTATTTATGGGCGTCTTTTTAATCAACACGGACACGCTACTGATGGGTAGAGTGTGTAACATGCATGACTGCGTGTCCCTGCAGAAATATAGGCATCTTCATTCACCTCCTGACAACGATGGGATTCTTTGACCGTCACATGCATGACAGGTTTTGGTTGGGGGTGATATAAATATAAACAATATTTAAATATAATTGTATTATATAATATATATATATATATAGTCTCTTCTCACCAAGGCTAAATGTATTTGATTAAAACAGTATGCACAATGCAGTAATATTGTAAAAAAAATATTACTATTTAAAATAACTGTTTTCTATTTTAATATATTTTAAAATGTTATTTATTCTTGTGACAAAAAAAATTAAATAAATAAATACAAATTCAGCAGCCATCACTCCAGTCTTTAATTTAAGTCTTAATATTTTTGTGAAAACTATAATACATAATTTTAAGATTCTTGAATATTAAATAAAAAAGAAATAAATAAATAAACAAGAACAACAAAATCTTACTGCTCCTAAGTTTTTGAATGGTGTGTATATAAAAGTAATTTCAGAGTAAATACAAATGTATAGACAATGTCGTCATAAAGATGAAAAAAAAAAATCAAGCTCTGGCTAAAAGAATACACCCACTCATCCACCCACGTCGAAGATCAGCTCCTGTCAAACCTCACGCTTGTCTTGACAGTGTCATTCCCACATCCAGCTCTCCTGAACTTATCCTCATTAACGCTGAACACATCTCACTGCCAAGACACAGAGCCGATAGACTGACAAAACAAACAGACCAATTTTGCTTATTGGTGCTACAAATCTAAATCACCCCCATTTTAACCTAATTAAGAGGTCTGTGAAAGATAAGGATGGCCATGATGATGAAAACAAAATAACTTCTAGTTTAACATCATGCTACAATTTCCCAAAAGTGCAGTCTATGCATGCATGGTGTTTAATATGCATTTAATACTTTGGTCACACATTAGTTTGAGAACCAATTCTCACTATTAACTAACTATTAACTATGACTTTTGCCTCAATAAACTACTAATTTGTTGCTTCTTAATAGGTAGTAAGGTAGTTAAGTTTAAGTATGGCGTAGGATTAAGGGATCTAAAATATGGTCATGCTGAATAAGGAATTAATATGTGCTTTATAAGTACTAATAAACAGCCGATATGCTAGTAATATGCATGCTGATAAGCAACTAGTTAATAGTGAGAATTGGTCCTTAAAATAAAGTTACCAGTGCTTTAATATGCATTTGACTTTTTAAATCCACTTTCATCAAACGTGCGCGCACACACACACACACACACACACACACAAAGCGCTCTATACCATTGACTCTAAATTGAAAATATTCACATCACAACCCCCTAAAAAACTTGCAGGTGTAACATTGATGGAAATTATGTCAGGTAGCCTAGATCCCAGAATAAAAATGTAAAATATGTTAGAATAAGCCTTGCAGCTTTAAAAGCAGAATATGGTTGTCAGCAAACAGTACACATTTTCTTGCATACCTTTTCCACCTTCAATGCAGCAAAACACACGCAAGTTTTGAGGGGGATGGGGAACAGGCAGAGGTCAGAGTTCGCAGAAAGACAAGTGAGCTGTTTGCCACGATTCTGCTGAGCAATGGACTTCTGCTCGACTTCTGCCCCCACCCATCCATCCCATAATTACATCTGCACTGACCCTCTGTCTCGCCCTCGCTGCATTTGCAGCCAAAACCCTCTCGGACACCTTCTGTGAGATCTCAACAGCCATATCTGTACATGACTTATACAAGCACAGCCAGGGTTATTATCATTAACTAAAACTAAAACCATTAAAAACACAGTTTTGTTACTTGAAATAAAATAAAATAAAAACCTTAAACTTATTTTATTTCAGCTAGTTGCCAAAGCACCATTTCTCTCTCTTTTTTTTTAAGACAAACAAACAAACAAACATAACTATAAAGACATATATATATATATATATATACACACACACACACACATATACATATACATATATATATATATATATATATACGTTACGTGTTTTTGCAGCGTTGAGTAATGTATCACAGACATATCTCACGAATCCTTTCATAAGCAAAGTCTAGACAGGGTGTAAATAAGATTTTCATTGTGCAGTGTAGAGAGCTTCGTTGATTATAAATGTGAGCTCGCGATGAACTAAGATGAGTGGCAGCTTTTAATGATTTTTAAGGGAGTTTGTAAATGTGATAACCGATTTAATACAATACAGATAAACAAGAATAAACAAGAAGTTAATATTAAGTGACTTACATTGTCTGACTATAACACTATTGTCTGATTTTGCTCTATTTCGTCGTCGAAAATAGTTTAAAACAAAGACACAGCGGAGCCGCTGCGCATCTCCATTCAAACACAGCGGTGTTTCGTTTATGAATGA